ACTACTAAGACAGAGAGTAATACCAGGAACAACAAAAACCACAGATAAGTAGGAACTCCGGGGAGAAAAAAGCACAGCTACAAACATGCAGAACAACTACTGACTAAAGAATGGAATGAGGGCAGGCACTTAAATATACACAGATAACAAGGGCTAACAAGGGGCAGGTGTGGACCATAATCAAAAGCAACCAATCAGTAAAGACATGGTACAACAAGAAACAGGTGGAATAAATTACTATTAACAAGCACTGGAAACTAGGAAACTTTAGGGCTAGGTACACTAGGAGAGACTACAGGCAGAAAATAATAAACAAGGCTTGGGCAGAGAGAGGTAGGTAAGGAGCATGCAGTGATTACAGTGTGTTGGTGCATCCACCTCCTCAGGGATGAGGACCTGAGTGCAGCCAAGTGGCAGGTGATACCTCAGCACCACCCCAGTCTGAATGCACCAGTGTGAGTTTTTCCCAGTGGCTACAGAGCCAATCCTGCCACCAACCCCCAAGTTTTTCCCTGTAAGTTGGAGGACCTCTTTATAGGGCTGGATGTAGATTAACATCATATCCAGCAATTGCAGGTTAAGGGCCATGCTCAAGGGCCCAATGGAGTAGGATCACTCTGGGGATTTTCGGGATTTGAACCAGCAACCTTCCAGTTGTTGGCACAGATCCCTAGCCTCAGAACCACCCACTCCACCCGATTATGAATAGTCCAGCTATGAATGTAGGTCCGCTGGAGTTATGGATTCTGATCCCACATGGGCAGGGTAGACTATAAACAGGGACACAAATAAGAAACATAGATTAACAAAACCAGGATAAAACCAAAAGGATTAATTAAAACCAATGTATTAAATAAAAGGTCAGGCTGGCTTCAGGTCAGCCTCAAACTCATGACTGGTGGGGCATCAGTCTCTGAGCCGCTCACCCTGGGGTGCAGGGAAACACACCAGGGGAACCAGTGGGATGGCCAGTGGGAACTACTGGCTAAACGGGGAAAAGACACCTAGGACACGGCCAGACAGTAACCCCGTCATAGGGTGAGGAGCACTCTACTCTCCTGGTCCCTGTCTTCCCCTCTCTCATCTCTCCCCCCTTTTCTTTCTCCGTTTTTCTACAGCACTCTTTTCCTTGTTACATGTTGTCATCCCAGTTCCATTTATGTAGTTTTTCACTGCATTGAAGTGCACCAAAACGTACACGCAGTGTTACTCTACATCATTGTACTTTCAATAAAATTTCTTCCTTTTTTAATTGAATAATTCTTTGGAAATGTGTTTCTTAATGTTTTCGTGTAAAGTCATTAAAAGGTGTAATAATTTTCATCTTCTGTGTACTGTAATAACCCCTTGCCTCTAATTGCCCTTTCTCTAATTGCTTACATTAGTTTCCACTCCCTCGAGTGAAGGTTTGTTTTTACTTCCCTTAGATACATTTGTGGTTACATCTTCACGGATAATGCTAAGATTCTGTCTAGTACTTAGACCCGCTCATGCATCCTTAATAATCCCAGGGGATTCATATCATTGTGCTACTGTATGCTTTTAGTAATTTTCCAGATTGCTAGTTATTGCAATTAGTTGCAGCAATGCTACAAAGCATTTACACAGAGCATTTAATGGGTGAAACACTTCATTGTAGGTATGTTTTCTTAGCCTGTGCCTCCTAATGGTAAGTGGTAAATACCTCCATCATTTATAATAACAAAATGGATTCCCTCAGGATTACTTTTGAAAAAAACCCAAGTCAAATACAGCAGTGAGTTTACAAGATTTATTCCTGTTCGTTAAAAACTTGAATATCTTGTAATAATTTAGTCTTTTTTCAGGAAAACACTTTAGATAATTAAACTTTTAAGATCTCTAATGTTATAATGAAAATGTGTCGGTAAATCACATGCCACATTAATTTCTATATACCTGTGCTTAGTCTCTGTTGCCGTTCATCCTGTGGTCTGTCAGTTGCCAGCCCCACCCATCTGTACCCCATTGGTCACATTGTGAGGGGGAGGGTGGGGCTTATGTGTCTTTTGAAGGGCTAATTGAATGGCCAGACTGAACATAAAGCCCCTTGGAGACAAGATCTTAATTGAGATGCTGGAGCACAGTCAACAAAACATTGGGGCCATGATAGATGTGAAAGACTGTTATTTTATGGGAGATTATTTAACAAATGGCGTCTAAGTATTATTTATAAGTGTGCCAGAAGGGGCCAAAACCAGACATGGATGGGATCTGTGACCCTTTAAACCAAAAATGGTAATTTTTACGGATCTGGGTATGTAGAATAAAACACAACAAAACGAACACCAAAAAAAGGACATTAAAAATTTATTAAGTGTTTACAGTTGGGGGAGTTTCTCCCCAGTGCAGTCTGTTTCTCATTCCCGTTTCTGCTTGGCTGCCTTTTATTTAAAATCTGATCACATCGTCCTCGTTAAGCGGAGCCAACTGAACGGCATCAATTAGGTGATCTCTGCAGGAGGCGGAGTTTCTGAGATGTGATGGGCGGATGCGCTCCTGGCTGCAAAACGTATGTCTGTTCATTTAGGGTCATGGTCCAACAGCAGAAAATTGCTGTACGTACGGACGCTTTCTTGCTGACCGATATTATTATAACCTTCTGCATGAAATACTTCACAGGGAGCTGGTATGAAATATAAAAATAAATTAACTGATTTAAATCTAGAATAAATTTAAATACATTTGTGTCTATTCTAAGCTCTTGGTTATACCTGCACAGACAGTAATAATGTGGAAACTAAGATTTTGGGGAGATGTTACGGCAATCTCTCATAGTGAGAAAAAACAGGGCCTTTTAGACCATTTTAAAATGCCACATTTGTCCTTCATTTAGTTGGCAGAGAGCCAGCACTTTTGCAGCCATAGTTGGGAGATGTTCATTTAAATAAATGTAATTAATTAAAATAAATGCACCAGGACATTAGAGACAGTGACTGTGCTCACCTCTGTTCCCCAGCCTGGATCTGTTTGTGGGTATGTGCCTTCATTATGCTGTCTTTGGGTATGGGGGGTGTACACACCCCTCCTGGGCTGCGGGTGTGAATGCATGTTCTCTCCATGCCATGCTGGTCTCATGGCGCGTAAGGCCCTGCGATGGCATGCCAGCCTGCCGCCCTGCTGTGTGCCCTGTGTTTCCTGTGACAGGCTCCAAGCTGACTGTGACCCTGTAAAGTAGCTAGACGGATGGATAGATGGATGTTTTGGGGTGCGTAGTGAGTCTGGGCAGGACCTGTGCATTCTGGGAAAGGCTTTTCCTTCTTGGGATGGTTTACTACGCCTCGAACACCTGAGCCCCTTCCTGTGTTTCCTATAGCCAAGAAATGGGTAACATCCATCCATTTATCCATCCATACATCCACCCATCTATCCATCCATCCATCTTCTGTAACCGCTTGTCCTATTCAGGGTCATGGGGGGTCCAGAGCCAATTCCGCAGGTTATGGGCTCAAGGCAGGAAACAACCCAGGATGGGGCACCAACCCATCACCAGAAATGGGTAACACTTTCAATGAATGTCACGTCGATAAGAATCTATGATCACATTACAATGCATTTATGAAAAGGAATTATAATGTTGATTATGATACTTCATAAGCTCTGATCTCAGCTCTCATCTATAATGCACTATAGATAGCAAAGCATCCTTAATTCTTACACTGACCATTATAATGCATTATGAAGGTATCTATAGTGCATTACAGATAAAAGCTTCATATGATAATCAACACTATAATGTCTAATATCATTTTATAAATATTCATAGCTATGTTTATAATGCTTTGTGAATGCTTTATAATGTATTATATGTTCATAGATTCTTATAGACATGGCATTCATAGACTATAAACAGGGACACAAATCAGAAACCTAGATAAACAAAACCAGGATAAAATCAAAAGGATAAATTAAAACCAATTTCTGAAATAAAAGGTCAGGTGTTACCAGGAAATGTTCTGATTTCTTATCAATGGCAAACTAAGCAAGGTACACTCCCTTTTTCTGGACTTTTTCTATTTTTATCTTTCATCTTTGTCTAACTACTTTTCCTTTGTCCTTTAAGTCTCTGCTTGGCCTCCTTTAGATCTGTATCAAAACCAGTCTGTTAGCAAGGCTGAAATATGCATCGGAAAAATGTCGGCCCAGCTGAACTGTGACAGTGACGCATTAGCCCAGAGTCAGTAATCTACAAAGACAGCGCATTAATGACTGCGCTAATAATTATCACTGATCACATCGATGCATCTCGCACTAGAGTTTGAATCTAATTTGGAAGGCAACATGAAACCTGTTATGACGCCCAGGGCCACGTTTGACACTCCAGTACTATAATTATCGGTGCTGTCTGAGTTTCACTTGCAAAATAATCCTCCGACTCCTGCTGCTATTTCATATTGTTCCCATATTGCTCCATAAACAATTAGCCTAAAAGCAAAACAAATGATCAAATGTTGCTATTTGCCACCAGTTGTGTTGAACAACATCTCTGCATGGAAATCCATAGGGAACTAACTGTAAAGTACTGTAACGTTAGGGCTACATGTCTGTGAATGTTACAGAATATGTTCTGTTTTTTTTTCCCTACTTGAAAGCTGGAGGGAAGGTTATAAAAGCAAAGAAGCAGCATTATCATTGATTGCTCCTTATATGTCATGCTATGATCATGTTAGCAATCGCTTTTATTTATTTGGACTGGCATTCCATCAAGGGTGAACTCCAGCATGGTGCCATAAGCTGCCTAAGAATGGCTCTGGGTCCCAGTGACCCTGACTGGCATAAGTGGGTCGAAGACTCATTATTGAATTTATGTACTTGGCCGGCACTTCGCACCCAAAGTGACATACAAGTGAAGCAGATAACACCTAACAAGCAAATTTAAGTATAAGACACCTGTTTTTTTTTTAGGGTTAGGGTCTGATGTTTATAAGTGCTGAGTGTTATAAGTGCTGATTGCTGTAGTGACCACCCTCATCTTCCCGCAGGAAGGTAATAGAGGTGAAAATCATCGATGACGAGGAGTATGAGAAGAACAAGACCTTCACCATCGAGTTGGGCGAGCCCGTTCTACTGGAGATTGGACAAAAACATGGTAATAAAATAGCGCCAACTTTGTGATTGAGATGCGCTGCCTTTTATCTGGGTTTTTAAGGTCCGTGGTATGTGTGAAGTCAGTAGGTGACCATGTAACTGGCATTTAGCAGTACTGAGCCTCTGCTACAACCTGTGCTTGAACAAACCACGGTGCATCCAGAGTCAGTAATTCAGGGAGGTATCACACCCTCATACAGTATGGTTACTGTCTAATTCATGCCTTATATTCAGAACCTATATTCTGAATTTAAAGGTTCAGCTCAGTATGATTCTTATTTCTGGTTGATATTTTTCTTGTTGGTCATTAAGAAATCAAAAAGATTTAATAAGCTGTTACATCTTCATAATGCTTAAAAGAAAGAGAGCACCGCACTGTTTACATTTTTAATTTCTTTCGTAACGTTAATTAAATGGTGGAACAATGAATCCCATAGACACTGAGCTGTTGATGGAGATGTGAAGTTTATTCATGTTATGAGTCATTCATTTGTTAGTGTAGCATCATTTATGAGGTCCATTGGATGCTGATTGGCTCCAATAGGTGTTATTCCCTGAAAGAGTGACATTGTCGGATTGCGCGTCAAATACCACTGAGGAAACTGAAGAAGTTCCTGCCCTGTTCTCTGGCTGCCGCGGTGACGCCGTCGTGACATTAGAAAGGGGAAATGAGGATGGAAACAACCACAGTGCAGAACTAGGGCAGATGGTCAGAGGGTTTACCGCTAATGGAAAATTCCAAATGAATGTAAATGAAAATAAATGTCTGTAATATAATGTAGTAACAGAGAGCCAAGAGAGCTGATATGCTTCTGGAGAATACCGCCAAATATATCCTGAAATACTAAGAAAGCTAGATATATTTATATACAGCAACAAACAATATATTCACAGTATATCCATAATACTATCTTAATATTTTGCCATCATTTTAGTAAAGCATTAAATCAGGTTCCGTGCAGAAAATAGACACTGATGGTTTTTTTAATGTCGCTCTCTTTCTGTGATATTTCATTTTCGTCTTGGCTTTAATCATGACATTAGCATTGACAGTGTCCCACAGGTGCTTATTATAATGTGGTAGTACGTTCTCCATGGAGTTAGGAACGCACAGCACTTAGAAAAACATGTAGATTTAAAAAGACATTAATATAAATCCGAGGAGGTGAAGTAGGCAAAATGGTGGCATGAAAAATAATATTCTGAATGTAGGGTTGTGTATCTATGTGCTTTGATGCAATACTGGTCAGTCTTTTGCTCTCTTTCATCTCTGAGCTATGACAGCAGTTTTTTAGATGATGTAAGGTTTTGAAACAAGAACAAGCAGCCTTTCTGGACGGTTTCAGTCCAGTGGCCGTTTGCGGTTGAGGGCTGTGTTGTGAGAGAGGTCAGACGGCTGGTCATAGTCTTGCTGATGGTCCTCCCCTGATCTACATCTTTTCAGGAGACTCCAATGAGAACAAGCCGGCAGTGGGAGCTGAGGACGAGGAGGTGGCCAAGATGGGCTGCCCCAGCCTAGGGGAACACACTCGACTGGAGGTTGTGATTGAGGAGTCGTACGAGTTCAAGGTAGATGATCACAGTCAGCTTTGAATGCACCACTTAAGCTGCAGGACCCTTCTGGGTAACAATTATGATAAAGACTATGAATCAACATTAGCCTTGAGTAAGGGAAACAGAGAGGAGCCTTGCCGGGTCCCGTTCTGGAAGACTCTATCACACATGTGCCAGTGATCTATATAAACACATGACCAATGCCTGGAATCCCGAGGAGACACTAATTAAAACGAATTCTGACTGCCAAAGGTCAGAACCCAAATAATCTGATTGTACTTCTCAAAGTAATTCCCACAAACCTGAACTAATAACACTGTTTCTCTGGGCAAAATAATTAGCAGTGGACTAACCAACGCTGTGTAAAAAGACAACTGTTTGAAATTGGTATTTTATATAGATGTCTAGTTCATGGGTAGTTTTGCTTTGATCGAATTGTGTTAAAAATGAGGTTTTGCTTTTGTTGGGCAAACTATGTAATCAGGGCACTGTGTTTATATGACGAAACACCTGCTATGACGCTGGGCGCTGAGGTGACGTGTGCCTGGGCAGGGCAGCGAGTGACTCTGAGCCGGAGTGTTTGTGTTCAGAGCACAGTGGACAAGCTGATCAAGAAGACCAACCTGGCTCTGGTGGTGGGCAGTAGCAGCTGGAGGGAGCAGTTTGTCAGTGCCGTCACGGTCAGCGCAGGTCAGTGTCGGGCTGTCTCCACTGCATCCATCCTCCCACCCTGTCTAACTCCCTTCCTACTCATGCGGCTCTTTTCCTAGATGCCCATCAGCCTATCTGTCCTGCCTTCCTGTCCGCTGCTCCATGACCAGCTCCTACCTTGACAACCCTGCCCACAGACACCCCTAAAGCCAGGCATGTCCTCTCTCATCCTCCAGGTGATGACGACGAGGAGGAGAGCGGTGAAGAACGCCTTCCCTCCTGCTTCGACTACATCATGCACTTCCTGACAGTCTTCTGGAAGGTTCTTTTCGCCTTCGTGCCGCCCACTGAGTACTGGAACGGCTGGGCCTGCTTCATAGTGTCCATCTTCCTCATTGGGGCGTTGACAGCCATCACCGGAGACCTTGCCTCACATTTCGGCTGTACCATTGGCCTCAAGGACTCCGTCACTGCTGTGGTGTTCGTGGCTCTTGGCACCTCTGTTCCAGGTTCAGGCGGCTTTGTATTAGCTTAATTATTTTATATTTTATACTGAAATTTGTCAGAAGAGATATATTTCCATATCATTCTTAAGATTCAATCCTGTGAATTCTGAAATGAATTAATTAATCCATTTTAGTTTGGTGACTTAATATCATAACACAAAAAAATGCTTCAGCTCACTAAAAGAGGAAGTGAGGATTTAAATGAGTTGTCTACCTTTTAAATATTTTTTTAATTAAAACAAAAAAAATAATCATAAATTCCAGGAAAATTTAATTGCATATTACTAAAAAAATAATAATCTTTTCAAGCATTGACTTCACAATCAAAGTCAAGTAAATTATAACTTATGTTCTTTTTCCAGCACAAAACACACTGTTAGCACTAAAGAGCATAATACAGTGGAGTGATTTCTGCAAATGAATATTTGACGCATTGGTTTTGAACTTTACAATTAGGTCTTTGTAGCCCTTGCTCATTATTTGAATTAACTTTAATCTTTAAAGTGTTCTGTTCGCATACACAGAACAGTTCTGAATGAATGTTCCAAATGAAACAACATCATTTTCTGCAGGTATCCCAGAAGTGGAAAGCTCAGGTCCAGAAAGTGCAGATTGAGACCAAGACTTTGTTTCAACCAGCCAGTTGGTTACTCTGTGAATTGGACTCTTTGTAATCAACTGGTTGGTTGAAACAATATCTTGGTCTCGATTTGTACTTTATGAAGCTTGAACTTTCCACCTTTGAGGTATCCATGCTTGGTCCATGCTGGGTCCCAATACCTTGTTCACTTTTGCCCCCCAGATACTTTTGCTAGCAAAGTGGCAGCCATACAGGACCAATATGCTGACGCCTCCATTGGCAACGTGACGGGCAGCAATGCTGTCAACGTGTTCCTGGGCATCGGCGTGGCGTGGACCATCGCCGCCGTCTATTGGCGCAGCAAGGGCAAGGAGTTCCGTGTGGAACCCGGCTCGCTGGCCTTCTCCGTCACGCTCTTCACCATCCTGGCGGTGGTGTGTGTCTTGATACTGCTGTACCGCCGAAGGCCCTCCGTGGCAGGGGGAGAACTGGGGGGGCCGCGGACGACCAAGTTGCTCACCTCCCTGCTCTTCTTCTCCCTCTGGCTGGTCTACATCCTGTTGGCTTCACTTGAGGCCTATTGCCATATACCTGGCTTCTAAGGGGACTAATCTGCAGCAGCTCCCACCCATACTGTCCTCTCAGTCTGTGATATCAGCAAACACCCCCTCCCATCCCACCCCCGTCCAAATGCTCACCTACTGACCAATCAACTCTACTCAGTCTTATTTATTTTTGGTGGTACTTCCATTAATGGATTTCGTTGGATTAACTTCATGATTTTCGGCAGTCTTACCAGGATCAGTGAGATCCTGCTAGGGACATAGTTCCATAGTTCCTGTCGATTATTATTTTAATAGTTAAATATTCCTTCCCTGCTTCATCCTGGGTTATGCATACAAGGAAATTTGATCGTCAATGGGAGAAAATGAAGTACAATTCTTCCTGTACCGCTGAGAGAAACGAGTGTTCCGCCTCTTAAAGAACAGCTTCTCCACCCCTGTGTCCTGCTGCTGTGAGGACATTTGTGAGGAAAGCCGTGGAGAACGACAGAAGTGAGGATTCCTAGGAAAACAAGTGGGTCACTCGCTCAGAGGTTCACACTCGTCAAGGGCATGGATGTGCTACCAGGATATCAGAAAACATGAGAAGACACCTTACCGTGCAGGGAGAGAACTGTAACCTAACATGACGTTATTCTGCTCAGGAGGAAATGCGATAGAGACAATAGAAGCAGAAATGGTTTAGATTAGATGTGGACTTTAACTCAGTGACTGAAGATGATTTTGATGTTTTGCTGTATATTTTGTGTGTTAAATGTGCTTGATTTGTTGACGTTGGTAAGAAACATGAGTGAGGTCCGCTATGTTCAACGTGACAAAACCCCGTACGATGTTAGTAATACTTAAATTCGTCATCGGCTCTGGCGTACATAAAATGCAAGGTACGATTTTAATGCATATCTGCACTCGGAACTCCATTTTTTAAAAACTGTATGTTGCCTTCATGAGCAAAATTTGATGTCGGCTGTTCCTGTGGAAGGTCAGATTGCTGCATCAGAAATTTAAATGTGGGAGCAATACAAAGCTGAAGAACCAATCAAGCAGATAATGGTCTTCTGCTGTTAGTCCATCAAAAAGATAAGACTTTGGTTCCTACATCCATACTCTGAACCAGGACTAGCTGTAGTCGTAGTCTATAGGGGTCACACCATCCCTGTCACCAGTTCCAAGCTATAAATCATTCTCTCTCAACCCAGCTGCCCTGCCCAGGATATAAAAAGATTATGGTGATGTTATAGTTAAAAACTAAGCATGAATGCTGTGCTGTCCTTCTCCATTGTGGGAGCAAACTCCTTCTGTGGAAGCGGTATAGGGTTGCAAAGATCAAGGAGGGCCTGGTTTCTATTTTAAAAAGCAGTGGTACATAATGAAAAGTCAGGACCAACTTGAAACCAACATGGTTCTTAAGCAGGTTCAGACAGCCATGCTGAATCCACATCCACAGTTTCACCGTCAGTGCTAGGATGCTGGGTATGGCTTTCATATGACTTAGCAACCAAGTACTGGCACCCAACCCATGGTGCTGAGTGCTTCTGGGAGTGTATTTGTACTACAGTATGAGTAATGGGTTTCACTGGCCGAGTGGCCGGTCAGGGGAGAATGACATCCTTTCTGCTGGATGGTTGGACAGCTCATTCTCTAACAGTCTGCATGTCAGACTGATGCCAACAACATTTATTGACACCATTCAGAAAAAGCATGAAAAGTAAATTTCCTCAAGCTTTCTGGAATTTTCCAAATTTTACAGAAGGCCCCTCTGAGACTGAAAGCCCTGTGGTCAACTGACTAGGTGCAAATATGTTTTATAACCGCAAACAGTGTAAAATATAAACACAGCAAAACCACAATGTAGAGCCATGAAGTGGATATGAACAGCATATCTCGTACACATTTACCTTTGCGTTCTCAGTTAACAATACAGACACTCCTCACTTAACGACCGAGTTCCATTCCTACGACTTGGTCATTAAGCGAATCGGTCAGTAAACGAGGAACTGCCCCTTACCGATATCTCAAGCGTACTGTATGGGTAGTGGGTTTGTGTCAACCATCTTTAGATATTGTTTTAATGACGCCTTTGCACCATTTATAACATTTTTAGCATATTTGTAAATGTTTACAGGTAGTGGGAGATCGTTTTTATTTATTTCCGCTGGCATCCTGTGTTATGGGGTGTACAATAAAGTACAAACTTATAGACAAGAAGTGTAGTCCTGGAGATTGCGAATGCTAGTGTAGTGAATACGGAGTGACTCCGGGAACGAGAGTGTGACTGAGAAAGGGTGACGCGAGATGAGATGCCTGGCACTGAGACGCTGCGCTGCCGTTTCCACGACCAAAGTTCTCGTACAGCGTATAATACCGACTGGCCGGAGAGTGGGTCATAAGTCCGGGCGGTAGTTAAACAGGTAGGTCATTAAATGAGGGGTGTCTGTAATGTACTGTATAGTTTACATTTAATGTGTTGGGAATGGAGATTTATCTCATAAAGGTAGATTTAAAAAGACCAAAAGACACTTTTAGCTTGAGTATTTATATTTCTAAAGCGTATTTATATACCGGTACTATTTATTAGTGTGAAAGTGTGCTGTTAGCATATTTTTAGTTCTCGGGTTGCTAGGCAACCGTCTCTAAGAGTCATTGTCTTTTTGTCATTATGGTTGTCTGTTTAAGTAGGGAGCAATTGGTAGCTGTAGTCTCCTTATAAGGTCATCCAGCCTCTATTTTAGACTCGCTACAGTCATTCTTAATGATATAACGTGTGTCCTACTGAAGACAAAAAGCTGCCTTAATTGGTATCTCCACCTGCCTTTAAATAGGGTGGGGGGAATTATACGTGACCTAGGAGAGATTCTGTCCTGGTAGTCGGGCACAGGGGGGTCACACTGAACTCTGTTTTCCTATGTGAGCCTGCCCCAGCATTTCCTCCCCACCTAGCGAGTTATGAGTTATACATGGCCTGAGAGCTGACTTGGGATCTGGCATGCATCAGAATGCAGCTCTCTTACAATTAGTTTGTGCCATTGCGTGGAACATACTTCCCTATGGATCTGATCCTAATGTAATGTCCTATCTGGCAAAAGTCCCACTTCCCTAATCCAATCAGCCAGAGTATAGCTTCTCAGTGGCTCTGGGCTGATGACCGACAACTGCTGGAGGAAGAGGGTTGGGGTCGGGCCCTTAGCCCCTTCCGGGGTGTGCTACGCACCGAGACATAAACACGCTTTGGTACTGACACAGCTACCTTACTCCTTTCCTTAAGTGTGTCATAGAGGACAGGTGTTCATCAAAACCACAATGTAGAGCCATGAAGTGGATATGAACAGCATATCTTGTACACATTTACCTTTGTGTTCTCAGTTAACAATACAGACACTCTTCACTAGTCTGAGGGCCCAGATGCAACTACTAAGTTCAGTTTCAGAAAGTACAAATCCAGACCAAGATTTTGTTTCAACCAACCATTTGAATATAAAGAGTCACATTCACAGAGTATTTAGCTGGAACAAAATCTTGGTCCGGATTTGTACTTTCTGAACCTGAAATTTCCACCTCTGGACTGCTGGAGGAAGAGGGTTGGGTTCCACCTCTGGAAATTTCACAATATAACTGATACAGTATAAATAGCTGTTTAAATGTGTTAAATTGTGCAACCATTACATTTATAAGTCATCCACAGACTGAGATTCATCTTGGGTAAATGTCTTTTATGCAAGCATCAATGAGTACCATTAGGGTTGTGCGAAAAAAAACATCAAAGGTGGCTATTTGGCTGAACAGAATCGATATTGTGAATGTAGTTCATTTTCTGGAGTTAATGGCTCTGTGATTCTTAAAGCGCAAGCAGCACATCCTGCGTTTATGGTCAGTGTTGGAAGGGAGGGCACCATCGTAAAAACCACAACCAGATGTGAAATACTGAAATACTGTGTCTCTGTTTAAACGTGATCCAGTAGCCTATAGCCCTATGATGGACAGCCACGGTGTCGATGTGATAGATGTTTATCTTTCTCGGACATTAGGATTTTTTTGAATAATAGTAATTCTTGTGTCCAGATACCAGTGCCAGCTGGTGAGATTCTGGACAGAACTTTTTCATTTTTGGCAAAGAATGGGACCTATGACATTCCACACACAAAGCAGGCACTCTTTTTGGTGTCTAGTCACATCTTTTACGTGCAGTTATTTGGCTGCCGTCAGATTATGTTGGAACAAACAAACGAAAAAAAAATTGATGTGCATTACCAGTGTCAGAGCGTTTGAAATCCCACATCTGCAAAATAACTGCTTCGAGGTTTATAATTTGCTTGTTATGCATGCCTGCTTCATTGAAGTATAGAGGTTTTGCATATGTCGCTAAAATGGAATGCTAGCAAAAACAGGCAGAACACAGTCTCCGTACGGTCACTTCACATTTATATCATTATGCTTCAGTGTCTCTCTAGTGTTGATACATCCTGCTTTTGTTTTTCCTGTACCTGTTCTGTCTTAATTTCAACCATCTGATATCAGCATTTGTTTGATTTAAGTATACTTGATATTTTGGTTATAAAATCAAAGTTTGTAGCCCTGTTTTTAAAAGACTCACTAAGTGCTTTTAAAAAGTTTGTTTTGTTATACTCTTCTTCTGTTTTTGATTTATGTGTGTAGCTTTACTGAACATTTATAAGCTTTGTTTGATGTCACAATAAGTCACAATAAGGTGTTTTCAGTGTGTTAGAGTCAGAGTCAATATAAATGTATGAGAGTATGTCAGATTGCATGCTTCCCAAGTCATTGGAACCTTAAATGTGATGTAAAATTATATTTTCAAAGGAGGAAAAGGACCTTTTGTTTACAAAGTAACCATTTGTCTTTATTTTGTCTATTTATAAGTTCATTAAAACCCCGAAAGACACCTTATAATTTAGTGGATCAGAGTATTATTTAACATTCAGTTAAAAGGTGTTTGTTCTTTTTGGTGATACGCACATTATCATTATGCATGAATGGAACATTAAAGAAGATGTTTTAATAGCCTATAATGAAACAGATTTTTTACACACACACAGAGATACACACACACACTGTATGGACAGAAGTATTAGGACACCTGGCCATTACACCTACAGGAACTTTCATGACATTCCATTCTAAATCCATAGGCACCAGTATGGAGTTGGTTCCTCCTTTGCAGCTATAACAGCCGCCACTCTTCTGGAAAGGTTTTGCACAAGATTTTGGAGCATGTCTGTGGAAATTTTTGCCCATTGATCCAGAAGAGCATTTGTGAGGTCACTGGAACTAAGGGGCCCAGCCCAACCCCTGAAAAACACCCCCATACCATTATCCCTCCTCCACCAAACTTCACAGTTGGCACAGTGCAATCAGGCAGGTAATGTTCTCCTGGCATCTGCCAAACCCAGACTCGTCCATCAGACTCCCAGACAGAGAAGCGTGATTTGTCACTCCACAGAACAGGTTTCCACTGCCCCAGAGCCCAGTGGCGGCGTGCTCTACACCACTCCATCCGACGCTTGGCATTGCTCTTGGTGATGTGAGGCTTGCATGCAGCTACTCGGCCATTGAAGCCCATTCCATGAAGCTCCCAGCACACAGTTTTTATGTTGCGGTTAATGCCAGAGGAAGTTTGAAACTCTGCAGTTACTGAGTCAACAGAGCATTGATGATTATTAAGCACCATGCACCTGGTGACCCTGCTGTGTTCATTTACATGGTCTGCCACTTTGTGGCTGAGTTCCTGTTGTTCCTGAATGCTTCCACATAGCGATAATACCACTTTCAGGTAACCATGAAATTTCTGGCAGGGTAGAAATTTCATGAACTGACTTATTGCAAGGGTGGCATCCTATGACAGCACCACACTTGAATTCACTGAGCTCTTCAGAATGACCCATTCTTTCACAAACATTTGTAAACCTGACTGCATGGCTAGGTGCCTGATTTTATGCACTTGTGGCAATGGGTCTGAATGAAACACCTGAATTTAATGATTAAGAGGCGTGTATGTATATATGCATATTTGCCCTAGGAGACATTTAACGACACAGGTGGCCACTTGAGTAGAAGAAGGAGAGATTCCCCCGTGTTGAGTATGTTGAGAGACCTGCAGGCGTATGAAGAGAGACGTTTCATTTAGAAATCAAGAAAGCTAATTTTGAAGGGGCCTTGTGGCAGATATTAGAATGTTCAATATGGGATAATAACAATTTGCTTTGCTTTATTTTTAGTACTAAAGCTGTCAAAAGGCACAGTGATGTACAGTCTCGACCTCAGTATTCGTATACAACCATAAGAACACCATAAAATTATTTTTGCACAATCAGCTTCAATGAATGCAGGATCAATAGAGCTATCTGGCAAATACATTTAGCCTAAATGATTTTCCATGCAAGGTCTGAATGCACTATAACATTTTTTGAACAAATGTACATTTGGAAATACAGGAGCTGGGGCGTTGTTAAAGGGAGGGGGGCTTTAGCATCCCTAAAATATTTTTTAGCCCCCACAAATAAATATGTATTTATTGGTTTAAGTCATGAATAGCTTTTTATATTATATATATAAGGTTGCCATCAACCCCCCCTCCCCCTCCCTCTTCGCAAAAACTCAGCCCCCCTATCCATTAATCTCTAACTACGACCCTGTATAGAAACATTCTGACACAGGGAGGCATTCTGAGGAATTTCGCAAATAGCTTACTTTATGAGTACATTATGAGTAAATCCCGAGTGTGTGTGTGTGTGTGTGTGTGTGTGTATACTATATATATAGCCAAACACATTGCCTGTACCAGGAGGCATCATAGAACTTAATTGACGGGACAGATGTAGTTAGGTTACATACTGCACGAAACGTCACTTGTCTCTTTTAGCTGCTGAGCTCCAATTGTGGAGACGACGTAAAATGGTGTCGGGAGATCGGCGATATTAGTTTGCAGCAGAGCAAATTTTGAACAAACGGTGTATTGATAGGATTGCAGCGCTGCATGCTTCGGGAGCACCATAAGCGCCACACTTGCCGTTTAGGAACGCAACATTACTGAAGACGGCAGCGTTTAACGGGTTTCCGGGTACCTGCAGCGTACATCTTAAAAGGACCACAAACTCAGCTCCAGGCTGTTTCGCAAAATATGCGCTAATGCCTCCAGTCACGCAGATCTCAGATCGGTGAACTTGCATCATTAGTGGGGTTGAATTACAGCATACCATGAGAGGGCATGAAACGGGGGCGGGGGGGGGAGTTTAAAAAATGAGCTCTATTTTGAACACTACTGGTGAAGCACTTGACAGTTCATCAGCCACAACGCTGTTTTTTTTGTGTTTCCCATTTAAAAACAAGAGATCAAACTAACTCCTCTGCTATTCTTCAGTTTGTTAGGTAGGTAACAGAAGTAAGCAAACTCCAGCAGATGTAAATGAATCCTTACTTTCCACGGGACTCCTGCTTTGCCTACCACACAGCTTCCTCTCATGTAGTCCCTTCTCGTAGTGATAGGAGAAACAAGCCCCTAGAATACCCTGCATGATCTGGGTACGAGCTGTCAATCACTGCCTGCCCGCAACCAATCAGAATCGCTATGGTACCCAAGAAGCCACCGATTGAGGCTATTGGTAATTGACGGCACATATAAACTCACCCACCATGGATGCCCTGATACACGCTTTAAGATATGCACATGCTGTTACTGTATATCTGAAAGCAAGCAGGTAGGTGGTGTGGTGATTAATGCTTTTACCTCCCATCTCTGGAGACCAGCATTCAAGTCTCCATCTTGCTCCATGTGTGTGGAGTTTGCATGCTCTCTCTGTGTTGCCACGGAATCTCTTCTGGGTGCTCCGATTTCCACCCACAGTCCAGAAACATGCTGAGGTGAATTGGAGTTCCTAAATTACCCATAGGTGTGAGTGGTGTGTGAGTGGCGTGTGAACGGTGTGTGAGTGGCGTGTGAGTAGTGTGTGAATGGCGTGTGAGTAGTGTGTGAATGGCGTGTGAGTGGCGTGTAAATGGCGTGTGAGTGGCGTGTGAGTAGTGTGTGAATGGCGTGTGAGTAGTGTGTGAATGGTGTGTGAGAGGCGTGTGAATGGTGTGTGAGTGTGCCCTGTGATGGATTGGCACCCCATCCTGGTTTGTTCTCTCCCCTCGTACCTGTAGCTTCTGGGATAGGTTCTGGACCCCCCCCCACGACCCTGAACAGGACTAGTGTATTCAGAAAACGGACGGCTGAGGTTATGTGGTCGATTGTCAGTGTGATGTTACACAGCTCACCATAAATACTTTTCAAATAGCTGGTACCTCCATCACTCTGAATGTACAGGATTCTCCCTAACCTTTCATTAATGTTTACTTTATTCCACTTAAACTCCATGCTCTCAGTAAGCTTGCAGTCCCGGATATTCAAATGGGAACTGGAATTAATCTGTGACTTGCGTTTATTTGGAGCTGTCAGGAGCTGGTCTTTATTACAGTGCCATGTGACCAGTGAGAACAGCGTCAATGACCAGAACCTGAACTTCATGCCACTGCTGAAACTGCAAAATGTGTCAAGCTTTTTTTGTCTTTTGTGTCTTCGAGGATAATCGCGCACTGGAGGTTGTGCAACACCGAAAGCATGTGACATCTTCTTGTAGGAAAAAACTGCAGTTTCTCTATTCTGGAATTCTGATTTTTATGCTTACGTTGCCAAGCAGTGTTCACCGCCTGTGTTCACCGCCTGTGTTCACCCCCTGTGTTCACCCCCTGTGTTCACCGCCTGTGTTCACCGCCTGTGTTCACCGCCTATGTTCACCGCCTGTGTTCACCGCCTGTGTTCACCGCCTGTACACATGTATGAGCTGCACCTGCTCACATTTCCTATCCCTCTACGCATCGGAAGACTGACCTCTCAGGCCACGGCGCAATGAAATCAGACATTACACAAAATTCCTGCATTTATTGAATGTAGTTTATATTATTTTTCAAGACAATAAAAATTACATCCTGAATAATTTTCCCTTTCACAAGACGCACCAATAATTTCTACATACAGTGTTAACACACCAAGTGTCTCTTTCTGATGTACATAGTGACATAGAATAAAAAGCTAAATGCAAGAATTAAAACAGCCACCAAAAATGCGGACAATTCAGACAACTGCTTGTTTACAGACCACATATTCAGTATTGTAGGACAGGTACTGTGGAAATGTTTCAGCTAGAACAAAACTATAATAATAATAAAATAATAATAATAATAGTAAAGCTTGTCCCAGCATTTGTAATTAAAATCATGGCTCTATCATTAATGTTCAAAGTCTGAAATGAGAGGTACACTTAA